CCCATGTCAGTTTCAGTGGCAGCAGCTGAATCTGGAGCCAGTTCCGACTTACATACAAATTCAACTTAAGAACAAACCTATAGTCCCTATCTTGTACGTAACCCGGGGACTGCCTGTACAGTTCGTCTGCTGCTAGTCTCCATATGCACAGAAATTCTTTATGGTACACGGCAATTCAACAAATGCAGAATGATGGGTAACCTCTCAGTCAGCTGGCAACAGAATTTCCAATCCCATATTTCTTTTTTGCCTGCATCTCCTGCATGAGGACATCCGTGCTGCAATTTGTTCTGATTAGTACCAAAAATAATTACATTACATTTAAGAAGAGGACTAGGTTGGTTGGTTTGTTTTTAAAGGACAAACACACAGAAAAGAATTGATAATGAAGAAATTGTGGAGAAATTGGAGGTGGTCTAGAGAAGAGCAACAAGAATGATTAAAGATCTAGGGAACATGAGCTATGAGGGAAGACTGAAAGAATTGGGCTTGTTTAGTTTAGGAGAGAGAAGACAGAGAGGACATGATAGAGGTTTTCAAGTACCTAAAAGAGTGTTACGAGGAGGAGGGAGAAAAATTGTCAAAATTACAATAAAATTCTGCCAAGCCTAAATAGAAGACTGTCAAATAAGGTGATAGTTTTTAAAACTAAGGCTACAGTAAAAATGTTAACTGTAAAAATTATGTTTACAGTGAGACTCTAGGCCCCCTCTTCCCACCCCGGACCCACCTCTGTGCTGAGGAGCAGAGGTGGGGAGGGAGGGCGCTGCTTCTACTCCCTCCCTCCTCTCCCCGCCACAGGAGCATTTTCTTTTTAACTGGTCCGGCCTTCAACCCTCACCACCTAAGGAAGGGAAGAGGGCTGCCCCACCTCCAACTTAATGTGACCTCCAGTCCGCTGTGGATGAGGAAGGGACAGTCCGAATCCAGCGCCTCTCCCCTGGCCTGAACACAGCAGCGGCTCCAGAGGCCCACTTCACCCCACTCTACCCCAGCCCCAATCCAGAGCCCACAACCCAGTCAGAGCCATTGCACCCAAAGCCTCTGTCAAAGCCGCAAGGCCCTTATCCCCTGTCCCACCCCAGATTCTGCACCCTTAGCCATAGCCCTCACACCCCTGCACTCCAACAGTCTGCCTCAGGCCTGAGCCCCCCTCCCACACTCATAACCCCTTAGCTTACCCCCCACCACATGAATTTTGCTATGTGCACTAATATGAAGGTGATTTTCGTACATCACTTCCATATTGGTGCACACAAAATTCATTCCACTCAGGTGTGGGAAAAATTAGAGGGAACACTATCCCAGACTACCGCACTTATTACTAAGATCTGCTATTTTGTCATTTATCCAGTTAGAATGTTTGATCATATGTAAAGAACTTTTTAATTCAAGTACAGTTTATCGCATTAACATATGAGGCAGATGATGCATGATCATGTTAGATAAAAATCTACCAGACTGCCAACATACAGTACTACAGTATAGCACTATCAGAGATTTTTAGCAAATTGAATGATATGCCAGCATATTTTCTTATTCTACTGATTTGTCACAATCAGACATTATGTAGTAGGGCCAGTATGTCCTTGTAAACAGATTAAGCTCAGACAGGATTTAAACATTATGTACACTCCACAGCATCACTGGGCATTGGGATGGAATGCTACTTTCTTATCACCAGATCAAGGTCCTTCTGTTTAGAAAGATGCCTGTTTTATTGATTCATTTAATTACATATTAAGTTTTATATTGTTACAATACAATATACAAGTTACTGTGACTTTCAAAGGCTGAAAAAGTATTCAATAAAGAAAGTTGATATTTTGCATTACTTTCCATGCTTTACACTGACAACATAGTTTTAATGTGTTAGTACAAATTAAATCTGATACAAAAAAAGAAAAGTGAATGAGACAACAAGAAGACTGTTCAACTATGTTATCAATAATAAATTCTTATTCACTTCACTGCCACTATGTCAAGTAGTGATGGAAGGAGGAAAAATTACTACAAGATATAGCTTTGTATAAGCCAGAGCTGTTGTAGAGTTTCATTACCAAATTCTAAGAGACTCATACTAATAATATATGAAAAGGCAAAGGATGAAGGGTGGTGCAGTTTTGGAAAATAAAGAATTCAATGAGTAATACCATGTTATGAGCCACCTGCCACAGGTCTTGAAGCTAGACCAAACTGGGTCACTTGTAGATCATGCAACAAGAGATCTGTCCATTTGAGACCTTTGAAGACTGCCTGAACTGTGGGTTTTCCTGTCACATTAAAAATCAATTACAATGGTAGATTTTAGGTAGAAGCAAATAAGTATATGAATCTGTCCCCAACTTGTTTGGTGAACTACAGAAAGTTGTTTCCTTATGCTCCGTCGCCTACTATGATCTTTTCTAACCACTTTTCTGTATCTTTAGATTATTGTTCTCTGGGATGTGAAGTATGCAATAAAATATTTCTCTGTGTGCTACAAGCTCGCAAGTGCTTCTCAAAAATAGTACCCTGTACCTGTTTTACACTTCATGGGCAACATACACAATGACAATAGTTAAATTAGACAAAATAAAGCTATGTTGTCTATTGATATATTAGCACCTGTAAAGTTCTGTAATCTAAACACTAAATATTAGTGTACCTTACCTCTAAAAGATGTATAAAATCTCTATCACACCATTTTCTCCCTTCCTTCTTAACTGTTGTACTTACTATTCACAACACTGAAACTGTGGGGGTGCGATCTTTATATTTAGTGTTTTCATAGTAGATATGTGGTTTGACTGGGAGTAACTTCTTACTTGTTGGAAAGTGAAAGCCCTGTGAATTGTTCTTTTGAGCTTTAGAACTAAGTGGCAAGCCCAACAAATTAAAAAAAATTAAAGATTTAGAGATTTTTTTTTATTTCTTATGTAACAATAATGATATATCTGATCCAGTTACTGGTAGGTCAGTTGATATTTGGGCAAATGTAAAATCTTCTCATTCTATAGCAAACAAAAGCAAACAATTCAGCTGTGTAGGAAAGATAGAAAATATGGCAAAAGACCAGCTTGGCTTAACAAGGAGATCTTGCACGATCTCAAAATAAAAAAGGAGTCATATAAAAAATGGAAACTAGGACAACTAACAAAGGATGAATATAGGCAAGCAACACGGGAATGCAGGGGCAAGATTAGAAAGGCAAAGGCACAAAATGAGATCAAACTAGCTAC